TTCCGGAAGGGGTCTCGCCCGCGTCTCCGCTGGGGAAGTGCCCAGAGCAAATCCAGTAAAACGTGCGATCACAGAGGCGGCCGATTACTTGTGTGTGACACCGGACGGGGAATTTTAATGCCTGGTTCCAAATTACCGATGTATTTTGCTGCGGGACACTAATAAAGTTGCTTTTACCAGCCGGCGTATTGTGGTGCTGTGAATGCAGCGGGCTCCCCGCTCCCGCTCCCGGCATTCAGATGCAAATCGGCTTTGTACTCATTTCTCATAATCGCTCCACATCCCGCCTCGGGCTTCCAGAGGCGCCCGGCAAACAGTGTTTGCTCAGGCTGCAATTTAGCCTGCACGTTATTTGCCATAACTGTAGCTCCAAGGTATAATTTCGCTGTCTAATTTAAATTTTATGGATTTCAGTGTGGTTTACACGTACCAATAAAGGCCAGTGTTGGAGAAGGAGCGCTTGTGCGGGTCAGAGTCGGGTTTGCTGTTTCTGGAAAGCCCATGGAAAGCAGCCTGCTCCGTACTTCATGTTTTAAACGGCTTCTGAATTCTCGAGCCGAGCCTTGGCGGTGTTACGGCGTCATTTTATTTGTCTTGATCAGCTGCTGATTTACAGTATCGAGGTTATTGCCGCCGTGCTACCGAAACGCCCATCGGAATTAAGCTAAACAGTTCTTGGGATGTTTTTGCCAAGTTTATGATGTTTTCGAGCGTTTTTGGCCTCGTGAGCACAGGTGATAAACAGCTGAATTACAGACGCGTTTTCAGCAGCCTCGAGCACCTGAAGAGGCGGCTGCCTGGAGGGTGGGCTGTGCTGCTTCCGCTCACCTGCGGGGTTAATTAAATAGTAATTAGATAGAAACCGAGATCCACAGCTCATCTAACTGCTTTTATACAGTATGATACGTATTTTTTCTCCCGGTATTAGTATGATTGCCTTAAAAGCCGCCTTCCGTGGGCTGTTCAGGGCTCTCGACAAAATTACGGACATTTCTCCCCCGAAAACGCCAGCTATTAATGAGCTTGGGGAAAAAAAAAAAAGGATGTCCAGACACATTTATATGTCTTTAGCTTTTAAATAAACGTTGGTTTGGTTTATGCTACAAACTTGGAGCATCAAGCAGGCACCAGCTGAGAAGACGGTTCCGCCCAATGAGCAGCTGCTTTGAGAACCCAGAGGCCAAAATTCCCAACTTGCCCGTGTCCTCGGAACCGCTCCTCCTCCGAGAACCGCCTTGGGTTTGCAGGGGAGAGGGAATTCCTTAACGGCTGGAACTGATTTCATCACTCCGTTTGGGAACGCGGCGGTGGTGGCAGCGGGGAAAGCAACACCCCGTCTTCCCAAAGCCGAGGGAGGATTTGGTGTCCTCGGGTGCGAGAGGCGTTGGCTCCGCAGGGATGTGCTCCTACGCCCGGGCTGGATTCCAGTGTTCCCTTTTTGTAAACGGGCTCCGGCAGTCAAGCGGGTGAATTCAGACGGAGCGGTTTAATTGGGCACGTCGGGGCGGGACGGTGCTTTTT